TGTGAAAGAGCAAGTGGGGTAGCCCGGATGCTGAGCCAAGGCTCCCAGCTGGAATGCAGTGGAGCCAGAGGAGAGGGGATGTCCTTCAGAGAAGGTCGCTCTGCCTGGCCCCAGGGAAGGTGGGGGGATCTCGCTCCCAGCACCAGGAATCTCTCTCTGCCTGCCGTGAGCCCCCACTGCTAGCAACCCTGACCCTGCAGGCCCAGCAGGGACAGGAGAGGAGGGAAAAGCACCTGTTTGTCAGCCACTTGGCATGGTTTTCCAAGAAAAAGTTCAGCTTTCCTTTGTGGAGGGGCCAACTGAGTTATTCGAGGACGTGGTTGCAGCCCTTGGGTGCTACTGGCAGAGCTGGCAGAAAGGAGCAGAGGGGTTTTGGGGACACCAGGAGGGTGCTGCCCCTGCCATGCTCACACAACACTTGATGGCATCAGTGCATGCATGCTCAGCTAATGACCTCAAGCCCCACTAGCAAGCAGCTTCTGGGGACACCAGCAGCCACCCCCTGACCAGCCCACCCCGGGGACCTCACCTCCAGCACCCAGTACAGGGCGGGTGCTGAGGACAGGAGGATGCAGCTGTGATGGGAAAGATGAGCAGAGCCCTAGGGGCCAACACAAACCAAGGCTGAACAGATCAGGCTGGCACTACCACTCCCTGCAAACCCCCACCTGGAGCAAAGCACCCCAGAGAGCACCTACTGCCCTGTTTGGGAGCTGCAGAGGGGCAGGAGATGGCACCTACCCTTGCCACTCCTGCAAGTGCCTGCAAAAGCGTCCTGCTCCTGCAGACAGAGCAGCAGCAGGTCTCAGTGCAGCTCTGATGAGAAGCAGACACCTGGAGAGCAAATTCAGCCTCTCCAGTCTGAGGGCAATTTCACATGCAGATACACAAGCACCTGATTTCCATTCAAAAAGCTCCTTTTGACCTCAGATTTTGAAGGATTCTTTCAGGCCAAAGGAAATGATTCCTAAGGGCCTGGAAGCAAAGCAGCAGGGCTCTCCCATGGCTGGGGAAAGCAGGGCCGACCCTCGCCTGATGGGAAAGCACAAACAGGCTGTCAGTTCTCCAGAGTCCCAGCACTGGCAAAAGCTGAACTAGCATTCCCTCCCCGCCCTATGTTCGGAGGGGACCCGGCCCACTTTCAGGGGGTGCAGGTGTATGGGGTGAGACTGGACCACAGGCTGCAGCACAGCAGGAGATGCCACCTGCCTCCCCTACACTGCACTGGTGGTTCTCACCCTCCCACCTTCACCAGGTGACTTGGTGCCCTTCCCTGTCAGCCAGGAGAGTCTTCAGAGCTGGGGAGATAACAAATAAAGAAGAATCAAAGACCAGCAGAGTGCTACAAACCAGTGCCTGAAAAGCCCACCTGCAGCTCACGGCAGCTCTCTGCAGCCCAGCCCTCTCTGCCTGCTGCTCCCTGCCGCGGGACCGACTCCCTCTTGGCAGCTGACAACGCTGCTCTTGAGCCACGAGCCGTGAACATAGCCCAGCTAAGAGCAGTGCAGGAACCCCAGCCCGCCCGCGGCGGCGAAACGGGTTTAACGGGCTCCGCCCTCCCCGCACGTCCCACCACAGGACATCTTGTGAAACGAGGGCTCAGGGGCAGAGCCCGGCGCCAGGCTGAGCTGGAGAGATGGAGGTTTGCAGGGCTGGCACCACCGTCCTTGCCTGGACACCCCTCCTGCCACGTCACTGCCCATCCACAGCCCCATCCTTGGGAAAACACCACAGGGAAAGCTCTTACACGGTGCCCAGACCAGGTACAGCTGCTGCCCCAGAACCAGATGGCCAGAGGATTATCCGTGTTTTGGTTAGAAGGGAAAAAAAACGTGTCCTGCAACACTCAGCCCATCTCAGAGGGCATCCATCCCCTGCACTGGGGCCAGGGGCCCTGGAAGGTCTCCAATCTGATAGGGGCAAGGCCAGCGAGGGGCAGAGGGTTCAGCATGTCCATCAGCAAACACAGACACGGCTGCTTTCGTCAGGGCTGCCCGGGCTGGAGGAGCCTGCTCTGCTCCCCCCGCCAGGGATACACGGAATGGCAAACATCAAACACACCTCTCTGAACCCTGTGCCATCAGGTGGGTAAACAGCCCCATGCAAACAGCACTGCAGATAATGCTGTGGACTGGGATGAGGTAATCTGCCCCTAATCTTACTGGAACCATCCTGTTTCAACAGACTGTCCTTTCCCAAGCCACTCATTCATCTCCTCTTTGCATTTACTTCTGAATGGGCCAGTATTGCAATAAATCATTATTATATTTTAAACTTCTTGGCTGTGAGCACGATGGCAAA